TAGAAGGCTAGTAAATGACGAATTTCCCTTGTTTATTAATGTCACACTCCTCCCTATTATCTACTCCTGATAATATATAGTTCTATAGTACATTTCTTTTATGCAATCAATACGTAGATTTGTAAGTAGTTGTGCCAATGATGAATAAGGTTCAACGTGAGGAGATTTATGTCGATGGCAGACAGGCAGAAAGACAAAAGGGAAGGTCGATGGCCCATACACGCCATCATCGTCATCACAATCAACAACACTGATCCTGATCAGGTAAACCAGTGCGGGGCGACGATGCTAGGTCAACTTTTCCCGCGTGCTGCAGCTGTCAGTTAGTGAGTGAGGCATACCTCTGCATGATGTAGGAATAGTAGTGGCCTCCGCTGGCCTGACCACTGTGCACCAACACTCCGACAAGCCTATACTTGCTGCACACGACCCCTCGAGACACGTCCACCTCATCGTCACTGATCACCTCTCCTGTAATACACACACGCACACAGGGGTAGAAATTAACTTGTGAACAAGAGAGTCCAACAAGAGGAGGCCGCAGCAAAATGAGGGAGTCCGCAGTCTGAAGTTCAAAACTAAAGATATTAACAATAACTTATGTGCTTATTTTGAAGATTCATGTGGTTGCACGTCTGCCAAATTTTCTTTGGACATTAGCTGAAAGAATACGGTAATTCCGCGACGCCATGCTCTTGAACGAACTAGTTAGGCAGAATTTTCATGGAGTCACACGAACTCCTGCGTATGTCAAATCAGGGAGTCCGACAGTAAATCAGGGACTATTTGACTCTGGGCTCCCGTTAATTTTGCACCCTGCGCACATGTGCTATCGACAGCATGATAGAAAATCCAAGTGCATTATTAGCAGCGAGAAAAGCAAGAGCGTGTGCTTCAAATTTATAATATTATAACGATTTTTGATATTATGATTATGATTATTAATAATATTATTTGTTTATATTCTTATTACAACTATTGTCATATGTTGTTATTATTCTTAAATTAAATTAAATTTCCATTTATTATACGTGACGCCAACACCAAGTGCACCATATGCTACTGGTAAACAGGACAGAAACGTGATGGTACATGCACTCTCAACCCTCAAACTGAACACGATTAGTGAATGTTCTCCACACCTAGATGCTACACCAACGTCTCAATGGGAAGTCGATTATAAACGCGTTGCTCACAAGTTACGTCACGATTTACGTCACGATTGCCACTTCTGCCGATCACTCACTCACCTTCGATTTTCGCGAGACCTTGCACCGTGTACGGCTCCATGTCTATTTCTCGTGGAAACTCGAAGTAGTCGTTAAATTTAATTGCACATTCCCGTTCGTAATCGTAATCAAATCGCTTGAGCTGAATCGCCAACACGTGAGGTAGCTTTCTCAAACAGAGTCGCTTCACTGTATCAACCTTAAAATGGGGGAAACAACAACAAGGTTTGACAACGACCCGGTTTAATTAAAAGTTTAACAGTTGTGATCAGGCAGTGAATTACATACGTATTCCCCGCAGTCAGTCCCCTGCCACCCGCGACTCACCGGCTGGCTGGACTGCATCTTCGCGGCGACGTCGCAGCAGCGTATCAGCTGTGAGACGACCTGGTAGAGCTTGCCCAGCTCTGCGTAGCGGTACTTGATCGGCGGACCCGGTCCCTCGTCCAACGCAACCAGCATGAACGTCGCGGGCACACCGAGCCGCAGCAGCTGCGTCCTCTGCAGCAGGGTTCATAGTAGTAAGACACATGTTGAAATAAGGACTTATAAGACCATTTCTGGAGGCCAAAATAAGACTTTTTAACGCGATTTATGATAGATCACCGACTATTAAAGTACACTAATAATATTTATATACACAATTGCACAGCAGATTTAATTATTCCGTATTATATATACAACAATTCTTACTCTAAGTCGAGAAAAAATAAGGACTATTAAGTACTTTTCTAAGATTTCACCAAAAATAAGTACTAATAAGGGCCCTTATTTTATTTTTGGCAAAATAAGTACTTATAAGACTTTGGAAGACCCGCTACGAACCCTGTACAGCGCGAACAAACGCACGCGTGGGAAAATATACGTCAATCTACCGATTGAAAGTACTTCCAGTACTTCGAAACTAATTTTCACCCAGTCTCGTGTTTTCCCCACTTATACGATAGTTATCGCTAGCATAACAACAACTGTCTAGAGTAATGCTTACATGTCGTAGAACCTTCGCACTTAGCTATATTCACCAAAAACATGCACGATTCGAGTTTTGATTACTCGTTTTGATTACCGCTGCAATTTCTTGCGAATCTCGGACTATCTCGTGAAAGCGCAACATATCGGCCAATTTAAAAAAAAGAAACAGAATAAACTAAACAGAATCAGATGCACTTTTGTTTGAATCGTGCACTTGTTTTGAAGGCACCATTTGCAAATAAATTATCGCTATAATCAAATATGCCATGTTGTTACAGCGTGTTCTAAAATTCTAATTTTCTATGCTATAACAGCATAAATTCTTAGTGTTTTTCAAATTGGTGTAATCAGTAATATATCTGCTATGAGGTGAGACTATACTTCGCTATATTTTTTCAGCAATGATTTCGAAACAATGGCTTTAAAATCTATGCAAACACTCTCGATTGCCGCTAAAATGTACTATGTACAAATAAATTTGTGATTAAAAAAACAACGTAAACCTACAACAAAAATCGACAAAGATTTACAAAAAATAATAAATAAAAATTCGCATTACGATAACAATACGTGAATCGGCTGTGCAGTCGCCATGGCGACCGCGGGATCACATGCGAGCCTCACCTCTGGCACGCCCAGCGTTGAATACATGAGGAAGAGAGAGAAGTACTGGGTGAGGTGGCGGCTGTGCTCGGACACCTGCTGCTTGAGCAGCGACAGCACTGCCTGCAGGATGTAATCACTCAGTGTGGCATTCACGTCGATCACTTGCACTGCACGAGAAACACGCCGCTCAATAAATGTGTGATAATGCCTCACAGTCAACCCATCCAAACCATCTGACCAGTCATCCATCTATACATCCATGCAGCCATCCATCAATACATCCATGCAGCCATCCGTCCATCCACCCATTCATCTATACATCCATCCGTCCATCCATGCAGCAATCCATCTATACATCCATCCAGCCATCTGTCTATCCATGCAGCCATCCGTCCATCCACCCATTCATCTATACATCCATCCAGCCATCCATCCATCCATCCATTCACTCGTGTGTCCGTTCGTCCATCTGTCCATCTATTCGCCGACCCATCCAATAACCTTCTTACTGACACAACCATCCAAACACTGAAATATCACGAACACCCTCCAGCCCCACGAAGCTACTTTACAAAGCTACTTTAATCGCTCTCTAACTTCTATTAAATTACCCCTCCCCGCATCACGACCCCAGCCCTTCCATCATCACTCCTCGCCTTCCATCACGACTCCACTCCTTCCATCATCACCCCACCTTCTTTATGGTGACACCACCCCTCCATCTCCATCACGACCCCCACCCCTCCATCGCGACCCCCACTCCCTCCATCGTGACCCCACCTTCTTTATGGTGACACCACCCCTACCTCTCCATCACGACCCCCACCCCTCCATCACAACCTCACCCCTCCATCGCGACCCCCGCCCCCTGGCTCACCTGCGTCGGGGAGGTTGGGCGGCGGGCACGGGCCGTCGTCGCGGGTGAAGTGGGCGAGGAAGACGAGTATCTTGAAGAAGCAAGTGCGCACCTCCGACGACGGGCACTCGAGCAGGTACTCAGAGAATCGCTCTGCGTGTGCAAACAGCACGCTGCGCACGAACCAGCCGCGCGCCGCCCGCGCGTAACGCATGTGCGTGCACACCGCGTCGTACCACTCGTTCGCCGGACCCCTGCAATCAATAGACAATCAATCAATCAATCAATCAATCAATCAGATGCCGGATATTGCAGCCATCGCGTTTTACGGCGGTTGATCGGAGGCGGGAGGTTCTGTATTCACCCTCGTCTTGTTTTGTAATTGACGGTGGGACGTTATTACTGTTGTTACTGGGATTAATCGTATTGTGAGACACTGCATAAAATATATTATAATTATTATTATTATTATTATGTATTATATTATGCGTTATGAGGATGTCAGAGTGCACAAGAGACTAGACAACGCGCGACCCGTGGACACTATGACGTCCGACCCCGTGGCAGACTCAGGGTGCGAAATTAACGCGAGTCCGGAGTCAAATACTCCCCCGATTTACTGTCGGATTTACTGATTTGACATATGCAGGAGTCTGTGTGACTCGATGAAAATCTTCTATATACTAACTAGTTCGTTCCAGAGCACAGCCGCACGGTATTACCATACTTTTTCAGCAAGTGTCCAAATAAAATTTGGCAGATGTGCAACCACATAAATCTTCGAAATAAGCACATGCGTTATTTATAATATCTTTAGTTTTGAACTGCAAACTGCGAACTCCCTCTTTTCAAGTGCAGGGAGTCCGTTGAACTCCCTTGTTCAAAAGTTTATTTCTACCCCTGCCGTGGCGTGATACCCCCCAGAGTTACTGCGGTGCGTCGCTTCCGTACCACGCTGCAACCAACGCGCAGACGTGTGCTTGCCGTGCGATGCTCGCACGCAACCCACCGCCGCTCCACAGGGTATTAGCCAGGAATGAATATTGTGGGAGTGCAGGAAAAATATTTGGGAGTGCAATTTTTGTGTGTCTCAGCCAAAACCGCTGTAGCGGTCTTCGTGAACGCCGCAGGCCTTCACGGGGGGGGGAGAGTATGAGTGGGGGTCCTACGTGGGCTCCCACAGAAAATTTCAAAATTTCAAATTTTTTTGGGCCATGCAGTTTCAAAACTGACCGTACAAATCACGGCTGCACGGCTCGCTGGCTAATACGTTTCCGCTCCACGACATCGGTAGCACGTGTATCGCGGTACGTATCGTATAGTGACCTACATATCGAGATACGTATTGCATCGTGATCCCAGTGTCTTGTTACACCTCTAGGATGCACTGTGATGCATCATGCTGCACTGACGCAAGGGCTACGCATGAGGAGAATGAGCATGAACCCACCTGAGTGTCTTTTTCGTGTGGAAACCAACGGTGAAGAGGAACTTGGAAGCCAGCTGAATGCTAGTCATCGCCAACTCCTCACTGTCAGCACTCTGCAAGAGTGGAAGCAACTCTCTCAACACTCTCTCAGTACACACAGCGACACAGCCACGACATGTCACACGCACGCACACACACACACGCACGCACGCACACATGGACCTACACACACGCACGCACGCACCCGGAAACACACACGCACGCACACATGGACCTGCACACCCGCACGCACACACCCGAAATCACACTTGCTCACACACACGCACACACGCGCACACACACGCACGCACGCACACATGGACCCGGAAACACACTCGCGCACACACATGCACACACACACACACACGCACGCACGCACCCGCAAACACACGCGCGCGCACACGCACGCACCCGCAAACACACGCGAGCACACGCACACGCACGCACGCACCCGCACCTGCAAACACAAACACACTCGCGCACACGCACACGCACACTGCGGGATGCCTCACTCTGCGACCTTATAATCTTACAATGCATTTCACTCGTAGTGTACGAACACTACACTTTCATTACATTCCAGTTTCAGAAACCGAAAGCATCAACAAAAAGCGTAGTCATCTTAACCATGTCTTAACGCTAAACGCCGATTCAGCTTTGCATCAAGCTACGTTGATTTAACGTCGCCACTGACGTACCATCTTCTCCTGGTCCGGGCCCAGCGTGACGTAGGGGGCGTTAGCGCTGATCAGTTTCTTCATGAACTGGAAGTACTCGACGCTGAAGTGACTCTTGCTGTGCATGAAGTGAACGTTCTCCTTGCGCACGCACTTGTCGATGGCAGCCGGCATCTTCAACTTGCTCTCTACGGAATGCAGAAACACGTGCTGGTAACAACAAAGCACCTCAATACTGCTGCTGTTGTTGCTGTTATTGTTGTTGTTGTACTTCTTCTTGTTGCTACTGCTGCTGCTGCTGCTGCTGGTGTTGCTGTTGTTGTTGTTGTTGTACTTCTTCTTGTTGCCACTGTTACTGCTGCTGCTGCTGGTGTTGCTGTTGTTGTTGTTGTTGTACTTCTTCTTGTTGCCACTGTTACTGCTGCTGCTGCTGCTGGTGTTGCTGTTGTTGTTGTTGTTGTTGTTGTTGATGTTGATGCTGTTTCTGTTGCTGCTGCTGATGCTATTGGAGTTGTAGTTTTTGTATCGTGGTAAGACCACGGCAAACACTTGCTAAGGCATTATTTAGATGTCGTCAGCGAGATGACGAGTAGAGAAGGTTTTAAGCTGTACCTATCTTGAGATCCTGCAGGCCCTTTAGTACATCATCTGCCATGTCCTTGCGCTCATAGAAGAGGATGTACGCATTCCACCAGCGCTTCTGTCTCCTATACGACGTTCTGAAAATCACACGGTGGCGTCTATAGCGGCTGACGACTAACTATTGACCGTCTGTCACACTAAATACTGCCGATTTGCTCGGTCGAGTCGATTTGTGACAATGCCTGGGACCGAGACACGAGACCGGTAAGCGACGCACAGCAAACGACAGAACCAACTCGATCACAATCATATTTGAGATGTGTGGCAGCGGGAACGACGAAGGCAATAATGCGCTGACAAACTGCCTATGTATTAATTATAGTTGGTTTAATAATTAATCTATCGACCAATAGAACAATGTTAATTGATGTACCAATTGATTAGTTAATCAATAATAGTGCAAATTGGTGACACCCAACCAAGTGAAATAATTACTTAACTACTACAACTACTACTGCTGTTGCTGCTAACGCTACTACTAACAATAATAACAATGTATTAATAGTTATTATAATATTTATTTATTAACAATTTATCAAAAATGAAAGAATGTTACTACCGTCGCTGCTGCTGCTACTGCTACCACTACTAGTAAAAATAATAACAATTTATCAATTTATTTACTTATAATCAATAAATTATTAATAACAGAATAATGTTACTACTGCTGCTACTACTACTAATAGTAATAACTTATTACTACTTTATTTACTAATAATAACTCGTTAACGGCGGCAGATCGGAGGCGAAGAAGGGGAAGACCCAAGGAGACCTAGAGAAGGACCATCGAGAAGGAGATGCGGATGTGTGACCTGTCACGGAACACGCTGAGGCCAGTAGCAGCGGACCGACGACGTTGGAGATCTCTCGTCACTGCCTTATGTGCCAGCTAGGCACCTACGAAGGATAATAACGACAACGGCAAGATGGGGGGGGCATTACTTTTTCAGCATGTGGTCGAACACCTCTCCCGTGTACTCTCCACCGAAGCACTGGTTGCGGATCTCCTCGTCGTCCTGCATGCTGCACTCCGACACCTCACCGTCGTCAAATTTGTACCACTTAGACGAGCCGTCCTGGTTCCTACACCAACAAACAACAAACAATAAATAACAAACAAAAAACCACAAACACTAAACAACAAACACCAAACAATAAACAATAAACCACAAACAACAAACATCAAACAATAAACAATAAACAACAATGCTCAGCGACGTACAGAGGTAAACGTAGGTAGGCGTACGATGTGAGCGTGACTCGTAGCGGCGTGGGCACGCCCGCATCGTTTGTGCTAATTTTTTCGTTGAGCGCAATGCAGGCTGCTTTGCCCTGGCCACTTTTGTGAATATGTTTTGCAGTTATGTAGGTAATATTTAGTATGTATATGTATTTTACTATAGAACTATATATTATGTTTACACACACACGCACGCACGCACGCACGCACGCACGCACGCACGCACGCACGCACGCACGCACGCACGCACACACACACATACATAATATATAGTTCTATAGTACATTTCTTTTATGCAATCAATACGTAGATTTGTAAGTAGTTGTGCCAATGATGAATGAGGTTCAACGTGAGAAGATTTATGTCGATGGCAGACAGGCAGAAAGACAAAAGGGGAGGTCGATGGCCCATATACACGCCATCATCGTCATCACAATCGACAACACTGATCCTAATCAGGTAAACCAGTGAGGGGCGCCGATGCTAGGTCAACTTTTCCCGCGTGCTGCAGCTGTCAGTTAGTGAGTGAGGCATACCTCTGCATGATGTAGGAATAGTAGTGGCCTCCGCTGGCCTGACCACTGTGCACCAACACTCCGACAAGCCTATACTTGCTGCACACGACCCCTCGAGACACGTCCACCTCATCGTCACTGATCACCTCTCCTGTAATACACACACGCACACAGGGGTGGAAATTAACTTGTGAACAAGAGAGTCCAACAAGAGGAGGCCGCAGCAAAATGAGGGAGTCCGCAGTCTGAAGTTCAAAACTAAAGATATTAACAATAACTTATGTGCTTATTTTGAAGATTCATGTGGTTGAACGTCTGCCAAATTTTCTTTGGACATTCCATATTCGGGATTCCGAATTCCGCGACGCCATGCTCTTGAACAAACTAGTTAGGCAGAATTTTCATGGAGTCACACGGACTCTTGCGTATGTCAAATCAGGGAGTCCGACAGTAAATCAGGGACTATTTGACTCTGGACTCCCGTTAATTTTGCACCCTGCACACATGTGCTATCAACAGCATGATAGAAAATCCAAGTGCATTATTAGCAGCAAGAAAAGCAAGAGCGTGTGGTTCTAATTTATAATATTATAACGATTTTTTATATTATGATTATGATTATTAATAATATTATTTGTTTATATTCTTATTACAACTATTGTCATATGTTGTTATTATTCTTATTAAATTTTCATTTATTATATGTGACGCCAACACCAAGTGCACCATATGCTACTGGTAAACAGGACAGAAACGTGATGGTACATGCACTCTCAACCCTCAAACTGAACACGATTAGTGAATGTTCTCCACACCTAGATGCTACACCAACGTCTCAATGGGAAGTCAATTATAAACGCGTTGCTCACAAGTTTCGCCACGATTGCCACTTCTGTCGATCACTCACCTTCGATTTTCGCGAGACCTTGCACCGTGTACGGCTCCATGTCTATTTCTCGTGGAAACTCGAAGTAGTCGTTAAATTTAATTGCACATTCCCGTTCGTAATCGTAATCAAATCGCTTGAGCTGAATCGCCAACACGTGAGGTAGCTTTCTCAAACAGAGTCGCTTCACTGTATCAACCTTAAAATGGGGGAAACAACAACAAGGTTTGACAACGACCCGGTTTAATTAAAAGTTTAACAGTTGTGATCAGGCAGTGAATTACGAAACAAAAACGTATTTCACATCGGCCTGTTCCAGAAATATATTACATTTTTCTGCATATCTCTATCCCCCTCGCTCTATCTCTCCTCTTTGTTTCTCTCCCTCTCTCACTCTTTCTGTCTCTGTCTCTCTCTCTCTCTTTCCCTCCCTCTCTGTGTCTCTCTCTCCCTCTCCCTCTCCCCCTCTCTCTCTCTCTCCCTCGCTCCTCCCCTCTTGTCTCCTCACCTTCTTGTTACACTTCTCACAGTGGTAAGCGTTAGCACCCTCGAGCAGATCTCCCTTCACATACTGCTCTAATGACTCGACAAGGTTACTGTGCAGCCGGATATCTATGTTGAGCGCGGTGAACGGCTCCTCCCGTGAATACCTGCAATCATCATCATTGTTGTCATCACCATCGTCGTTGTCACCGTCATCATCATCACCACCATCAGCATCGTCATCGTCATCGTCGTTGTCACAGTCATCATCACCACCACCATCAGCATCGTCATCGTCATCGTCGTTGTCACA